AAAAGAAAAGACAGCATGATATTTGCGGAAATAGCTCCTCAGTCAAAAGAGAATATCATCGTTTTATCGATAGTTTGATATACAGAATCATATGATCACGGAGATGTCTGAAAGGAACCTTGATGCAGCGGTGTTAAATGTGCAACACAGGGTGACTATGGGTCACGGAATAAAAAAAAATACAGAAACCGGAAGTGACGGAAATATAACGACAGTAAAACCTGTAAAGAACTAAGAGGGCCATTTTCTAGCTGGAAATAAAACTATTCTGAACTGGACCCACGGTACAAGTACGCCCTGGTCTTGAAACCTTCCGTAAGTTGCCTAAGTCTCTGGTAAAATTTTCGCGCATTCTTCCTGCCGGCCAGCAGAATTTCAAGCTCTTATTATGTTATATTATGTATCCGCATAAGGTAGTAACAATAATTTTACGTTTGTGGAATTATTTTTCCCGCGGTCGCTCTTTATAACCAGTTTATATGATCCAAATCTACTAGAAATAGAAAACTTGTTACTTCACATAAATATATGAGCACCAGGTATTGGGAAATGAAAATATCGTTTTGCTACTACTTTATGCGGATACATAATATAACATAATAAGAGCTTGAAATGCTGCTGGCCGACAGGAAGAATGCGCGAGAATTTTACCAGAGAGTTAGCCAACTTACGGAAGGTTTCAAGACCAGGGCGTACTCCTGTTAGAACAACAATGGCACCTAGTTACCGATGTTCAAAACGTACTTAAATTATGGAGGGAACACTTTTTCAATCTACTGAATGGTAGCAGCACGGAATGTTGTGGAGAAGAAGAACCCGAGCCCCCAGTCGATGATGACGATGTCGATGTTCCTCCACCTGACTATGACGAGGTACGAATAGGAATAACGCGGCTGAAAAACACCAAAGCTGCTGGAGCTGACATCCTGCCAGTTGAGCTATTCAAGTACGGCGGCGAGGAGTTGATGAGGTGCATGCATCACCTCTTATGCAGAATATGGTCAGATGAACGCATGCCCGGCGACTGGAATTTAAGTGTGCTCTGCCCAATCCACAAGAAAGGCGACCGCGCCAGTCGCGCCAACTATTGCGGGATCATCCTTCTGAGCATAGGTTATAAGGTCTTATCGAGCGTATTGTGTGCAAGACTGAAGCCCACCGTCAGTGAACTGAGTGGGCCTTATCCGTGTGGCTTTAGGCCTGGAAAATCCACCATAGCCACGGTATTCCAGGTATTCACAATACGCCATATCTTGGAAAACACCCGCGAGAAAAGGATCGACACTCACCACCTATTTGTCGACTTTAAAGCCGATTTCGGCAGCACTAAAATGAGTTGCATATACGCCGCAATGTCCGAATTTGGCATCCTCGCCAAATACGGCTACGTAAAATGACGTTGAGCAATACCTCCAGCTCCGCCAGAGTTGGGAAAGGCCTCTCCGAGTCGTTTGCCTGCAAACGGGGTTTCAGACAGGGCGACTCCCTTTCATGCGACTTCTTTAATCTGATGTTGGAGAAGATAATAAGAGCTGCAGAACTGAACCGGTCAGGAACAATTTACTACAAGAGCGTGCAATTGCTGGCTTATGCCGATGACATCGACATCATCGGTAACAAAAACCGCGAAGTCTGTTCTGCCTTTTCCAAGTTGGATAAGGAAGCAAAGCGAATGGGTTTGGTGGTAAACGAGGACAAGACGAAGTATATCCCCTCATCAAACAAACAGTCAGCAAATTCGCGCCTTGCCACCCATGTCACTGTTGAAAGTTATAATTTCGATAAAGTAGAGAATTTCGTTTACTTGGAAATCAGCATTAACACTGATACTAATGTCAGCATGGAAATCCAACGCAGAATCACTCTTGCCAACAAGGGCTGAGTAGGCAATTCAGGAGTAAAGTAATTCAGGAGTAAAGTAAAGTATATCGATTTTGTTGTCGATATTTTTCATCAATTTGTTATCGATATTTTTATTGATTTTGTTATCGATTTTATTGGCGATTAATTATCGATTTTGTTATCGATATTTTTATCGGTTTTGTTATCGATTTTGATACCCATATTTTTTATCGATTTTGTTATCGATTTTGTTATCGAGATTTTTTATCGCTTTTGTTGTCGATATTTTTATTGATTGTGTTACCGATTTTTCTATCGATATTATTATCGCTTTTGTTATCGATATTTTTATCGATTTTGTTATCGATATTTACTGATTTTGCTAGCGATATTTTTGGAACTTATCGGTATAATGATCGATTTTGTTATCGATATTTTTTTATCGATTTTGTTATCTGTTGTTTTATCGATTTTGTTATCGATATGTTTATCATCAACATGGTTATCGGTTTTTTGCTGATACTTTTATCGATTTTGCTATCGATATTTTTATCGGTTTTATTATCGATATTTTTATCCATTTTGTTATCGATTTAGTTATCGATTTTATTATCGATATTTTTATAGTTTTAGTTATCGATATTTTTATCGATTTTGTTATTGATTTTATTATCGATTTTGATATCGATATTTTCATCGATTTTTTTGTCGATGTTTTTATCGATTTTACCATCGATATTATTATCGCTTTTGTTATCGATATATATATCGCTTAACATTTTTGTTTAAACAAATTCGTCGAAATTTCATCTCTAAAGCAAATATTAAATATCATTTAATAACGGGTGATTTTTTAAGAGCTTGATAACTTTTTTTTAAAAAAAAACGCATAAAATTTGCAAAATCTCATCGGTTCTTTATTTGAAACGTTAGATTGGTCCATGACATTTACTTTTTGAAGATAATTTCATTTAAATGTTGACCGCGGCTGCGTCTTAGGTGGTCCATTCGGAAAGTCCAATTTTGGGCAACTTTTTCGAGCATTTCGGCCGGAATAGCCCGAATTTCTTCGGAAATGTTGTCTTCCAAAGCTGGAATAGTTGCTGGCTTATTTCTGTAGACTTTAGACTTGACGTAGCCCCACAAAAAATAGTCTAAAGGCGTCAAATCGCATGATCTTGGTGGCCAACTTACCGGTCCATTTCTTGAGATGAATTGTTCTCCGAAGTTTTCCCTCAAAATGGCCATAGAATCGCGAGCTGTGTGGCATGTAGCGCCATCTTGTTGAAACCACATGTCAACCAAGTTCAGTTCTTCCATTTTTGGCAACAAAAAGTTTGTTAGCATCGAACGATAGCGATCGCCATTCACCGTAACGTTGCGTCCAACAGCATCTTTGAAAAAATACGGTCCAATGATTCCACCAGCGTACAAACCACACCAAACAGTGCATTTTTCGGGATGCATGGGCAGTTCTTGAACGGCTTCTGGTTGCTCTTCACTCCAAATGCGGCAATTTTGCTTATTTACGAAGCCATTCAACCAGAAATGAGCCTCATCGCTGAACAAAATTTGTCGATAAAAAAGCGGATTTTCTGCCAACTTTTCTAGGGCCCATTCACTGAAAATTCGACGTTGTGGCAGATCGTTCGGTTCAGCTTGATGAAATTTCAAAGCATACTGAGCATCTTTCTCTTTGACACCATGTCTGAAATCCCACGTGATCTGTCAAATACTAATGCATGAAAATCCTAACCTCAAAAAAATCACCCGTTATATACTTTAGATTTAAATAATCATTTTTAGTGGTGGGTGAGTCCGAGATGTTTAAATGATCGAGATAGTGCATTCAATTCGCGTAGATTTTTGAGAACTTTTTTCGTTAAAGGTGTTGCACTTTTTCTTCCATACTGAAATTTTTGTACGTCCAATTTGTATAAAGAAAATGCAAAAAAATATTAAAAATCAACATGAATTCTTAGCTGCACTTTCACTTCATAATACTAAAATTGAATCGACTATAAAACTGCATACCGTCAGTTGGTGTCGAACACTCATGCTTTTTAAAATTAATTGTACTGAAAAAAGTACAATTGTACTTAAAATATCAACACTGTTTCACTGGCGTGACAAAGTACTTGCTGCAGCGATGGCAGATTTGAGCGCACCCAATTTTTTACCGATAATAACTCAAGCGAGGGATTTGGGTATTGGGCATTTTACAAGCCTATTAGGAAGTATACATATCTGTGTTCGTATAGAATAGTAGCTTATGTCGGAAGACTGGCTTTAGTATAATGAACCATTCGCAGCATATGATTGCGAAAGACTACTGGCGCCGAGTCGTTGAAGAACTCTTGAAAATAAACGTAAAAGAGGCTGTTGCGATGCCTGCAAGTCAATATTCGTATAAGGTCTCATAAAAAAATTCCTTGTGGTTTAAAGAATATAGGTAATGGTACATTTTACTAAAGCCAGCCTCCCGACATAAGCTACTATTTCATACGAACACAAATATATTCGTCTACAAATAATGTTGATTATTTTAATTAAGTCCTAAGATAAGTTTGTGAATCTTATCAGTGCTCTATGTAAGAACCAAAAATCAATCCCCTCGCCAATTAGAACTTTTGCTTTAAAATAAAAATATACATAGAGCATTTACTCAATACTTGGTTTGGCATCACTTTTGAGCATTGATGTGCTCAGCTCACTGTTGCCAAGGTCGTGCATTTTGCTCTAAATTTAGTGCTTTTGGGAAACCAAAAAGCCAAAATAATTGGAATTCAATGCTTGGTGCGTTATTTAGTGATGCTTTTTTAATTTAAGCACACCGAATGCATCGGTACTTATGTATGTATGTATCACTAATATTCTACATTAAGATAGAATTCATTTACTTAATAAAATGTGAGGAATAGGTAAATTAAATATGTTTTGCGTTGTTAAAAATGTATTGAAATTAATTTATTAATAAAAACGTGAGGAAATGGATATGTATATACACTTTTTACTGAATCAAAAAAATTATTAAACATGATAATAAAAACTTGGCGATTTTGTTTTGGAAAAATTGGCTTTTTCTGGTGACCTGATGCCACATTGGCTCAGTTGTCGCAAAAGTACACATACATACACGCATTTTTACTTGAAAATAAGTGTGTAGTGGTTAATATGTATACGTTGCCATCTCCGTACAGCTCACTTCACCTCGCCTAGCTCGCTCGCGTGCGCGCAGCTTGCCCGCGACGTCGACTGCGTGCACCTCTGCTGCGCATCCCTACCTTATACTATTTTCAGACAGGCAGTTAATCGAGCAATTATCCAAGCTTTCTCAATTAATGCACTAATTAAGATCGATTTGCCATACAAAATTTCAATTATTAATTGCTCGATTGGTAATTAATTGAATGTTTAATCTAGTAAAAACTCCAATGCAACTCTGTTAGGTAAGTTCGTTTTCTTAGTTTTGGTGTGTTCAGTGTTAAATGACAATCAGCTGTTTGACATAATTTTATTATTTTCTTTTTGGAACCAGCAAACATCAAAAACCAAAAAAATTGTATTTCAACTGCAGGATGCAGAACAATCTGAATGGTGAGTAAATAAACACAAATGGTTATGTGTAATGTTTATTAAAAACACATATGTATGTATTTCAGTTCGATTAGCTCCAAAACCAAGAAAGAGGAGACTGGCTTGGGCTGAGGATGGCGAAGTGGCCATTCTTGATTTGTGGGAAGAGCGCGTTGCTGATCTCCGCGGTGCACGGAAGAATGGCCACATCTACGCGGAGATGGCGAACGAGCTGGCAAAGTTGGGCCACAACTACAGCGCCCGGGATGTGCAGGTGAAGTTGGCGAACTTCACGCAACGCTACAGGTACGAAGAAATAAAGGAATAATATTCAAAACCACTAAAAATTTAATTCGTTAATAGAAAAGAGAAATTGGCTATGGGACCTTCTGGTGGATCACCCTCAACGTGGCCTTTATACGCAAGGGTGCACCAGATAATCGGTGGATTTAAGGCCAATATGTTTTGCGAGCTGACGCTTGAAAACATCAGCGGTATGTATGCGTTTTTGGAATGTGCCTTACTAAAAGCCGTAATGTGTTTAGTGGAGATATTTGTTTTGTAGCAGAGTGACGCGTCTGTGTACATGCTAGAACTATCAGCTCGTTTAGTTGCAGGTTTAAGTGCGAAGGTACACTTCGATTTTGCACGAGCACAGACATACGGTGGTGCTTCAAAACAAATGTTCCACTAAAACTTAAGTAGATACAAATAACTAAACCGTACCCAGGGTTGGCACCTCATGGATCCGCAAATTATTATTTACTACGATCGTAGCAAAGTGCCAACGCTGACCGTACCCTATCTTTTTAACTTCGATACAAGCACATATGAACATATGTATTTATTTAATGCTGATTTTTTTTATTTCATTCTTATTTGTTTTTTTTTTCTTTTAAACAGAATCCGATATAGCATCCCAGCCATCACCACTGACCCCAATATTGCCGTCATCACTCAGCCCAACATTTTCCTCACCACTGGCATCACCTCTTCCTGCTGTGCCAACCACACCGCTGCCTACACCGTCACCGCCGCTGTCATCACCTCTCACTCCTCTGCCAACCACACCGCTCCCCACACCGTCACCGCCGCTATCATCGCCGTCGTCACCAATGCCTAGCAGCTCAGCTTCTGCGGTTGAGCCTAAAAGAAGGAAAGTAATCGGCACTTTACAAAAGAAAGTATTAGATAAATTTGATGGGTTGTCAGCGGAGATAAGCCAACATATACGGAGGAGTGAGGAAAATGAAAAAGAGTGGATGAAGATAGAGAAAGACAAAGCTGACACACTGAGGGAGATAGCGAATGATAACAAAGAATTAAAAGTTGGCATTTTATCATTTTTAAATAGAAATTAATAACACTGTACAGCACTCGGCTGGGTATTGGACCAAACCAACTTTTTTAAAGAGATTGAGCCATAAGTAAAAAAAAGTTAGTTCTCCGTTTTATTATATATTCCGTTTCATCCGTTTTATTATATATTACAGGTGCTATAACGGGTCAAAGTCAGATGTTCGAAAAATGAAAAACTTAATATTTCAGACAATTTTGAACCGATTTTAAAAGGATTCACACCGTTGTAAAAGTTATTAAATCCGCTTTCTTTCGATATGCATATTTGTATACTTCGTATATAAAATTTTTAGAAAAAACACATTTAAATGAAAAAATACCTTTTTTTATAAAAAAAAAATATTTTAAACAAAAATATGACTAACCGATTTTTTAAAAATTGGCGTCGTTGTAAAGGTGATTAAATCCCCTTTCTTCTGATATGCATATTTCTAAAAATCGGTTAGTAATTTTTTTGTTCAAAATACTTTTTTATAAAAAAAGTTCTTATTTCCTTTAAATGTGACTTTTCTCAAATTTTTTAGTATAAAGTATACAAATATGCATATCAGAAGAAAGGGGATTTAATCGCCTTTACAACAATATAAATTGTTTGCAATATAAGGAAATTAATTTTTCGGAGACCTGAACTTTGACCCCTTATATAGGTAATATAGGTCTGCACAAAAAAATTGATTTAACATTTAAATAAAAGGAGGACTACGCCTATATTTTTAGGTTTTTAGTTATTTACATACATGCAATAATTTAATATAATTTTTTACCAAAGGTCCTATTTCAAACTTCGAAGGCCCATATCTCGATTTCGGAGGCTAACTTCGAAAAACGGAGAAATCACTTTTTTTTCATATGACTCACAAAAAGTATATACAGTGGACGGTATTTTTATAGATAAATAACAAAAGAAATTTAGCTCGAAAAAAAAAATGTAAATGAATTAAATTAACAAATAAAAATTGTACTCACTAAAATAATTGCATAATCCTTGCCTTATTTCTTCAGCTGAGGGTTGATTGTCTCCAACTATCGTGACATATTCAGGATTTTCGAGATTTCTGTTCACTTCTTGCAATCTCTCCAACCACATGTCATTTATAGTGTCGTTCATTTCATTTAAATAATTGTGCAAGACGCAGCAGGCTCTAATAATGATGGGTGCCTTCCCAATTCGGTTGTCTAAACCTTTTCCAACACGACGGAATCGTCCTTTCAAGTGGCCAAATGCATTCTCAACTACTCTTCTGCACTTTGAAAGCTTATAATTATAGAGTTTTTTGTGTTTCAGTTAAGGCCATTGAAAACGCGTATGGCTTCATTAAGGAGGTGGAAAACCGAAACGCAGAATCTCCAATAATGCATATAGGCATTTGTACTCCACCTATTTCTTTCTTACTGACCTTCAGTAATTCGTTCTCCTCCATTACTCGCTTCATTAACGATGCATTATATATCTGCGAGTCATTGCATCGTCCAGGAGCACCAATGTTCACATATAAAAACCGATATCTGAACATATATAGAAATAATTAATACATGCTTTTTAGAAAAAAACAACAGGATGAAAGTTAAATAACCTGTAATCCACTACAGCTAGTAGAACAATGGAATACCATCCTTTATAGTTGTGGTAGTCGGTTGCATCGGCTGGATTCGGCCTAACTTCGATGTGGCACCCATCTGAATATATATGTATGCACGTATATCTTTGTTTTTATATAAATTAGTTGCATTTTTAACTTTCTTACCAATTGCTCCAAGGCATTGGGGAAAGCCGAGACGGTCAAAACCATCAACACAGTCTTTTAAAGTTTGTGGAGTCGGTGGTAATTTCTTTATGTATTGCGCTGACAAAGCTTGCCAGACTTCCTCGCAAAACTCCCACAAGATTGTGCACACGGTCGATATTCCAACACCAAATAGTTCGGAAACCACTCTGTACTCTCCAGACGATCCCAGCGTAAATAGAGCTATCGCAACGCGTTTTTGCAATGGAATCGCGTTGCGCCAGTTTGTGTCGGCTTTGTGCAGGTTTTTGAGGAAGCCACAGAGTGTTTCAAAACTAGTGCGGTTCATGCGGAAGTGCGTCTTAAAGAAATGGTCATCGTTGCAATTGCAATTAACTTCCCAGAAAGAAGACTGCCGATTCTGCAATAGAGGAAGTATCATTTATAAAAGGACAAGAACTGATTACTTATAATCTGATTTACCAATTTCCAGAGGGATCTCTGAGTAGCGTTCCTCTGCAGTAACCCGTAAAGCAATAGCTGCTGTCTTCGCAAATGTTGCAAAATTATGAAGTTTTTTTCTTTTCTTTTTTTATATAAGGCCATTGAACTTGCGTAGCTTGCCAGCACTGACTGCAAAACTTGTATATTTGCAGTATACGCAAGAAAAAGTTCGCTTAAACACTTATTGTTTTCCATTTTACCAATTTATTTTAAATAAACAAAAATTCTTTTAAGACAGCTGACAGCCACTCGTTAATCGAGCAGCTGATTGTGTGTGAAACACAAAAATCTAATACTTAATTAAAAACTTAATTGACTCAATTAATTTTCTGTCTGAAAACAGTATTAGGATATTGGTTTAAGGGTGCCACTCAATTTCGATTCTAGTAAATTTAACTAAAGCTATTAACGTGGATATCAAATTACAGGAATTTTTAAGAAATTTAATCCAGAAATATTTTTGATGAGGTTTGCCATGTTTTTTTTTGTAATACAAGTTGGTGTCTCATTCCCTTAAAGCTGAATTTGGTTTTTTAAACAGATGGTAACACCCTTCCACTTGTTGTTTAGAAATAAAGCCTTTTCAAAGCCATTTCGACTGCTACCCTTATTGTAGAAATTCTTTTAACTTAATAGTAGTTTTTTTTTTTTTTAAATGACAGTTCATGATCTAACCTAGCCATGAACATTCTCCTCGCCGAGACGAACAAGGTGTGCATGTTTCTACAATCGGACCACGGCAACATAGAGTTTATCGATGTCAAACTTTAAGGAGCTTCATTTTTGTTGTTTTGGTGGAATAATTGGACGTCCTCCCACTTTGTTTACTTGATTTTAAACGTTTACAATTTTAAATGTCGTAACACGTATTTTGTAAACTTTTTGAGTAAAAATTTTCATAAAAATAATTTTGGCCGCCTAAATCGGTCAAATACCCCTTTGTGCATTGTTTTGGAGTCCAAAAAAGAAAAAAACATATATTTACAAACGTCAAAGCAAAGTATAAAAGAGGATTCATAGAAAGAAAAAGTAGATAACAATACAGGGTTGCTTTACGAAGTACATACAACTATTAGTATGCTGACATACATTTGGTTTGTCTTTTGAAAGCAAGAGTGCTTTTGAGCAACATGGATATATATGAACCCATTATATTTTGTCTTGTAAATAAAATGGCAAGTGTTAATCTAGCCAGCAAAAACCCGAAAATGGATCCCAAAAAGGAAAAAAAGTGGATGAAAGGCGGATTTTCGTCCGTTTACCGATTCCATTTTCGAATACTTCGACGATGCGTTTTCCACCTAAGTGGGCGGCAGAAACGCATGTACAGACAAGAACTGAAAATTGTTTTAAAACGGATACGTTTTTCGCTATTCTGAAATATGTTTTTTCCTTCTGCACTTCACAGATGCTTTTTCAGGGTTCGAAAAAAATTAAATAAGGCAGCTCCTTAGAGCACTCGTACCCGGCACTTTCATGAAAATACAATTATTGCTTTCAAATAACTTAGTAACTAATTGGCAGAAAATTGTCGTAAAATTGTTCATGCAACCCTGTGAAGTGCGGTTAATGAGAAGAGCAGAGGGTATGTTCAATAAGAAAGCAAAATGACATGAAAACGAAATGTAAGAAATATTAAATGTCATTCAAATCAAATAGAAAAAAAAAAATCTAAAATTTTTTTTTATGTATCTACAATCAAAGGAATAAAATAAAATAGTGTAACAAAATATTTTTTAGCAAGAAACTTTTGTTAAAACTGCACTAAAATGAATAAAATAAAATAAGTTAAGCTTTCGTTATAGCCAAATATTGAAAGGAATTACTCAAACCCTAATAAAAATTGCTGATAATTTTCTTGCTAAAAAAATCTTTTGTTACACAATTTTATTTTATTCCTTTGATTGTACATGTTAAATAAAAGCTTGTTTTTAAAACAATTTTTTTTTTTTATATTACTTTATTTTGAACTTTTTAGTTTAATTTTGTAACATTTGTTTTGCTAAAAAATCTTTTGTTACACTATTTTATTTTATTTGTTTGTACATGTTCAATAAAAGCTTGTTTTAAAAAAATATTTTTTTTGTATTATTTTATTTTGAACTGTTTAGCCTAAATTTATAAAACCCGGACATAATATTTTTATTTAGGGCTCACACTCACTTCTTTCGAAAGCATGTTTCTGATTGAAAGCGTTTTCTAATTGTCGATCGCGTTGTCTATACATTAAGATACATTTAAGATAAGATTCTCTTTCTAAGAAAGCTTGTTTCGCTGTACCATAGTTCGACAACAATTCACTCTCATCTCTATAAGGTACTTAATGAACCAGTAAACTATAAAATTAGTTTTCACTATCACTTCCAAATATTTACCGTTATAGAGCTATTCCACGTCAAACCAACAGTCGATAAAAATCAATGTCTCCGATCATACCCCTGATTTTTTTTTCTTTATCACCAGATATAGTTTGTGTTAGATGGAAAACTGTGAATACAATTTTTTGAACAAGTTATGATTTTTTTGAAATGTCATTTAATCAACGCAGAAAAGTTTTACAGTTTTCTGTATAACCTTGCCGGATTTGGGAGTACTAAAGTTCTTTTTTAAAAGTATTAAATAAATTAAAAATGAGGGCCATTAAATGTTGTTTTGTATTTTTGACGCCACAATAGTAAAACGTTTTTTCAAAATCGAGGATTTCTCCCAAGGCTCAACTTTTAAAAATCTTTAAATTTTACATAAAATGTGCACCACTAAAGTTTATCTTTTTGCGAAGTTTAATCCAGTTTTACGCAATAGCTTGGAAATTATTCATGATTTTAAGTTTTGAAAATTAAATCTCAGCAAATTCGAACTTGCGGCGTTTATTCAAGTTGTCATACATATAATCAGTAGTTAGTATTGTTTATGCGTCACATAATCAGAGTATTTAGGAATAATTGCGATTTCTTCCCGTTTAGGTACATTATAAACATAAATTTTTCCCTTTTTCACTACTGAGTGAGAGAAAACCAATAGCGCACGAGTCCAAGTGTACTTGACTGCACTATCACCGATGATTGCAATTGATAAACATAACT